TTCTTAAAAATAGAGAGAGTCGATCATACCTCGATGTTAATATTATTCTACTTATTTATCTTCTTCATTTTTATCGATGTAGTAGGAAGTGGTCGTGAGAGTTGAGATTTCATTTTGCATTCCATGACTCTCAAGTAGTTTTTCACTATTTATATTTGTTCAAATATGTGTGAAATCTACCCTTTTGAGATGTCTCATATAACATTGTCCAAATGCTTAAAGATGGAGAAAATATCCAAAAAGAAAAAACCTCGGATACATGTAAAAAAATCATCATCATAAGTACATGAAGAAGTATTTGAAACATCATCGCCAGGAGCATCATATGAAAAGACACTAATAATATAATATATGAAGGATCTTATAAAGAATCATCATATGAGAATTAAACCAAAAACCCATTTCAAGATTCTCATGAAATGCATTCTAAAGAATCAATAAAGGAATCACACAAAGATGTAAATTTTTTCCTTAAAATTACTTGTAATAAATATGATGAGATAACTACTCTATCCAACAATCAATTGTTTGATTTTAGTGTTAAAATGTATTAAGAAAAATGACGAGCTAGAAAGAAATATCATAGAAATTTAGAATCATGTCAAAGCTGTTGAAAGTGAAAATGATATGATTAGTGATAAAATGAATGTTTTAGAAGACAGGCTTTAAAAACAAATAGATCAAATAGATGTGAAATAAGTGATTCGTTAAGAAATGAAATTGAAAGCTTGCATGCAATCCTGAGTAAGTCTACTAAAGGAAAAAGTAATTGTTATATTTCAATTTTCCCTATAAGATTCTCTAGCATTCTATGTCATCACAATGCATAAGGATCATAAATGTAGTTTGGTTATCTCTTCTACTCTCTCCTATCTTTAAGTTTGTCTTTGAGAGATTACCAAATATCATAATTGTGTATCTTGTATATATGTGTTTTATATTTTCAATGGCCTCTAATCAAAATACCAAAAATATATGCTTTATTTTCCTTGTATATTTGTGTTTTGTAGGTATCGAGCCAAAATATCCAACCAACAAAACTTTTGCTATTTTTTTCCTGCAGAAATCGATTTCCCATATACAGGAAATCGATTTCCCTCACTAATTTTGTGCTTGGATTTCAGTTTTTCGCAGCAGAAATTAATTCCCCTATATGGAGAAACTGATTTCTTGTGCGAAATTGGTAAAAATAAAAGAGCAATTTTTAAGTTTGTGCCATGTAGCTCTAAGTTCTTTTTTTTTTTTTTGAATATTTCTTATTATTCAAAAATAATTTCCCTACCTAATCATAATTAAATTCCATCATACACCTTCATTTGATGACATGTGCACCACCTGATCTTAATTTTGGCTCCAAAATCAATTAACAAGCCTAATTTTGTTTTCAAACCAAACTCCAAACCACCAATAATCCCAAGCCTAAATTCTATAAATAGAGCTCTCATTTCATTCATTCATCTAGATTTTGATAGCAAATTCACCTTGCTAAAAATTCTCTCAACTTTCTTCATCTACCTAAAATCACTCGAAGCTCATTTTCCATTAAAGTTAGTAAGATTTTCATTGAAACTTATTAATCTTTGAGCTAAACCTCCATCCAAACATTTTTTCTTCTTTAATTCTCTAAATCAAAGCTTAGGAGATTGATTTTTGGAGCTGATTTGAAGTATAATTCAGTTTTGAATAGGTAAATTTTTGGATTCACCATTGTTAAGCTTAATCTTCATCTTTTACAATCTGATCTCTTGTTGATCTTTGTGGTTTAATTCTTTGAGCTTCTTTTTTTATTCCATTTGTGTTATTTTCTCATAATTTGATGGAATTTTTCGTGCTTAATTAAATCTATGATCATAAGGTGTTTGATAAAAAGTTTGATCAAGAATCATCTCTTTAAAATGCTGTTTTCTAAAAATTTCGCTGCTGAAATCGATTTCCTAAATACTGGAAATCGATTTCTCTCACTAACTTTTCACCAAATTTTGAAAAATTAGCACAAGAAATCGATTCCCCATTTGGAGAAATCGATTTGCTCAAGGCAGAATGCAGTTTTTTGACTTGTTTTAGGAACTTTTCTTTTTTCTTCTCCTTTCTTTTGATTGTTGCTTTGGATTATAAATTTGAATGTCCAATTTCTCTTTAAATTCAATGGACTTAGGGTGTAGATGAAGTTGGATAAACATTCATTAATTCAAATCTATCTTAGAGTGAATTATTTAATTCATTCTTGGTGCTTTGAATTAGTGATATGTTTAGTACTTTAATCCATCAATTATGAGTGATTGAACTTGAAGATGAAAATTTTTTGAGGATGTGATCCAAAGTGACTTCTCATTCCCTCCATCTTCATCTTATCCCCTTCTTCTTTTTCCTTGAAGTGATCATTAGTGGCACAGGTTTTATACTTGAAATTGTCCAAGTATGATTGATTACTGAACCATGGCTAAAGACCTTTGAAGCTTGTTGTTAGGAGGCTTCAATCCTCTAATAATTCTTCATCAAATTTGACCTAAGTTCAATCTTCAATCATCATTGATCATTTTTTATGGAATTAATCTCCTTTCTTCTTTATTTTTGTTTTTTACTTGTGCTACATGTTTTAGGAGTTTGGCTTTTACCATGTCCCTAAAATTTTTTGTACATATATTGCTATTGATCGTTCTCAAAATTGGTGTGAATTATACATATATCCACTTACCATTGCTTAACATAACGCTAAATTTGTCCGGATTCCGAAAATGATCATTCATGGCCCAAACTTTATGTTTGTATATCCAAGTGTGGTTGACTATTCATCTTGAGTCCAATACCCTTGAAGTTTGTTGTTAGGAGACTTTGATTTTATCAATCCTCTAATGAGTTTTCATTACTCTTGGTCCGAGTACATCATTCAATCATCATTGATCATATTTGTGAGCATTAACTTCTAACTTTTAACTTCTAACTTCTAACTCATTAACAATTAACTTTACTTTATACATTTATTTTATGTCTTTATTTTTATGCATTTTTATCTTTAGTATTTATATTTCATGCTATTTGTCTTTTTCTCACTTAAGCATTTATTCTTTATGTCATTTTATCTTTTCTCACTTGAGCATTTATTTTTTATGTCATTTTATCTTTACTCACTAGAGCATTTATTTTCCTGTCAATTTACCTTTTCTCACTTGAGCTTTTCTTTTTCTTTTTAAGACACTTAATAACCAACTTGAACATTAAAAGACTTAAAGTTCTTTATGGACTATTGGTAACTATCCTTGGTATATTGGAGTTTTAGACCTCTTGGATTTAGGATTAAAAGCTTTGATACTTTGAGACCTTTAGACCTTTGGACCTTGTGTTACTTCATTGTTATATTGCTTGTGTATTGGGAAATCTTATGTGTGCAATTGTAATTTGGTTGGCCTTAAGTGATCTATATGGCACATTGGTTCAATATTGAAGACCAGACTTTAGGTTTTAAAACCTTGAGTTTCTTTGATACTTTTTATAAACTGATTTATTTTCACATAATTTTATTAGGTGTTATTGAATAGTGTAATGCATTGAATTTAATAAATATAAATAAATACATCAATTCGATTGAAATCGTCTTTAACAATCATTTTTCTTCTCTATACCTCGATAAGTATATATCATTTTTCTTCTCTATTACTCTCCTTCTAATAAATATATATGAATTTATTTGAAATATATTGACAGTCTAAAAAAATTTTACACCTTCAGCGAATCATCACCGTTAAATTATAATAGTGTTTTAAATTATATTTAAAATATTATTTATGAATGATTGTGATGCACTAATAGTGTAAAATATTTTACAATAACAGTGCATAACAATTAATATATATATATATATATATATATATATATATATATATATATATATATATATATATATATATATATATATATATATATATATATATATATATATATATATATATATATATATATATATATATATATATATATATATAGTTGAAACTAAAAAAAAAAATCATTATTTTTATCTATTATGTAAGACTTTTAAATTACTCACACTTTGATAGTCTATCGATTGTGTTTTGAGTGAAAGTGTTAGATAATATTATGTTTGATGTTTAGACCTTATATGAAGGGCATATATATTAATGTAGAGGGAGATGGGAGGTATGATGGATCATGTTCCTTTCAAATCCCTTAAATGAGTGGATATTAAAGTTCAATGCATTTTTTATAGACAACAAATCCCTTAAAATAGTGGATATTTTCATCTAAAGCTAGGACATGAAGCTGTCACATTGTCTGATCCTATAATATTTTTATACTTTTATTCATATGCATATGCATCATTGACCCTTAACAATACTAATAATGTCATTGATCAATGTACACATATAAATAAATTGATATTCCAACTGTGTGTTCACTCACCAACCCTACACTCCGTCAGTAATTAATGCGAATTTGATAATACAAAACTAAATGACAAAGACTATTTTAATTGCAATAAACAAAACTCCATCAACACGCACATGGCTTTGTTCCCTTCCCATACTAACAAAATATTTATTAAATCCTTTCATCCAGCTGAGACATTCATCATTTTTCAGTACACAAATTAATTAAAATATTACTAAATAAATAAAATATATAAGAAGAAGAATCTCTTTGAGAGAATATAAAATATACATCAAAATTCAAAGTATATAATATATATTATATAGCACACACAACAAACATGACAGCACGGAAGCAATCACATAATAGTAAATAATAATAATAATAATTAAACAAGGCAAACTATATAGTATATAGGTGGTTTGGTGTTAAGTTTATTGCTTCTTGTCGATTACAAATACTTGAAAATTAAAGTTGAATCTATATACGAACAAAACAAAAAACACTGAAGACACATTCCAAACTAACAACACTCCAATAATCCACAGGTAGTGCTAGCTTCATATATCTTTTCTTATAGGTCCATTTGGTACTGGACTTTGATATAACATATGTATTTAGCTTCTGTTTTTGCATTTCTCCATTGCTCTTGGTGCTGAAAAAGTGCATATAAAAAAATTACAACGTTAGGATCAATAGCTAGAGAAGAACAAAATGATGTAATTAATAGTTATCTCATGAAATCATATATACATACCAAGCCCAATTGCTTCTGATCCTTTCATTATGCGGAGACGCTTGCATGATTCAACAAACATCCTTCAAAAAATAAATAATCAAGGTTAATTTTTGGCACGAGTAATAGTTTGAAAAAGTTGAACAAATTAAAGATAATCATAACTCGGTTTTGATCAACATTAACACTGACACGGACACATCTTTTTTCAAAGAGATCAGATATAAGAAAAAATGATTGTAGTATATAGTAGCTGGAGATGGAGGTGCATGATGAGGAACTTACTCCCATGGGACATCTCCCACGAGCATCCAGTCGCCATCCTTATCTTCATAGGTTGGCACATACTCAGAACTGTTAAGAAGATCCATCAACTTGCTTTCATTCATGAAGTCTATCATTCCATGGGCCCCATAGTTACCTTAAAAAAATATTTACAATGTTCAATCACTCACATTAATCATGTAACTAGAATGTAACAATCCCAAGATGATAATAATAATAATAATAATAATAATAATAAAATAATTAATCATATCTTAGCACATGCATGCTCAAGATCTAAAACCTTATAATACTAGTAATAGTTTATTATCAAATAATTGTGGAATCTAGATTCGAACCCAACCCTGATAACGCTCATCAGTGTTGAAACTCTTGAGAGAATATTTTATAATTTATTGTGGTTTTGTGTGACTTGGATGAGTTAATCTATACAGTTGTTGTGCAAAAGATATACTAACCAGTGGTGAAGGAGCTGAACATTTTGGCTAAGGCATCAGATAAATCTTTGTAGGTTTTGTACATTGTCAAGTCGACCTTACGAAGGTAAGGTGCTCCATCCATGGAAACCTTAACAAATGCACCAGCAGTAGTGCTACTTGTTGTCTTCTCGTTCTCCTCAGTATTGTTAACTTTCTGTGCCATCATGTTCTTCCTGTATGATCTCACTGGTGGCCAACCAACTACTTGAGTCCTGAAATATAAATATTCATTCTCAATCTCAATAAATCTCAATTATTCTTTTTTCTCTATAAGGCTTGAAAATTTGCATAAAATATAGAAACTCCGCTGATAAACTTCATTCACGCGACTCCCTCGGTCACTACTATAAATAAATATTTATTTTCTGAATTCATCGAATAACTGATATATCTGAAGATTTTATTTTCTAAATTTATTAAATAACGGATGTATCTGGTGGTTTATACAAACATAAAATACATCAATTGTTTGCTATATCTAAAAAAATCTTTGTTTATAATAGTAACAAGAGAAAATATATACTCTAACTTAACCTCTAAAGATGTATTGTTAAATAGAAAAAAGATGAAAAAGAAAAACAAGAGAACATGAGATAACAATAAGCCTTTGTTTAGTCTTATCTTGAATTTGTTATTTGTATATCCTTTATAGTTAACAGAAGAAAAATATCATTCAGATACTTCATATATAAACTTATCCTTTTTTTGTTAATACTTTTATAACTGGTTAGAGTATCATCAAAGTTGTAGTGCAAGTTTAAGTTTGTTTGATAAAAAAATTTGAATATCTCTATTAATTTTGTATGTTTAAGAAAACTTGTTATGCTATACATCCAAGAAAGTTAATAGAGATTAAAGAAAGAAAAAACTTACTTAGCTGGTGGTTTGGCAGGGTCCTTAAGCATGCTCTTCTCCTTTGAAACATTCTTCAGATTCTCATTCAGATCTTCCTTGGTTTGAAGATTGAGCTTCAGATCAACTGTCTCAGAGAAACCTCTCTTTCCAGCAGCTCTAGGAGTTTCAACGTCGCCGCCACTGCCACCGCCACCGCCGCCAGGCAAACCAAGACAAAGCTCAGTCTCCTTCATGTTCAAACCATTCTCCTTTCCAATCAAACTAGCCATCTTTGGCTTCTCAATGAAATCTAAACCTTAACAAACACTCTTTACTTTCCCGTCTCTCTGAAACTGAAAATGCTTGTTACTTTCTCCTTAAGGGTGTGTGTGGGTGTGTATGTGTGTATGTCCTTTATGTTATAATGTAACTTGGTTTGGCTATATAGAAGAAGTAGAGAAGAGAGAGAAAGTATTATAGCCTCCTCAATAATACTTGTGTTTGTGGCTGCATGCCAATTTCACATCATGTTACAGACCAGTTGCATGTTGACACGTGGAGAAATGTACAACCGTTGACATTTAACCAACTATGTTCTAAGAATATGTATTAAGAATCACCCTCCTAAGATCTCCGGTTCGAATCCTACTGAGCGGTAGCAATTCTTGTATTAGACCACTCTATAAAGAGTTGTGTTCTGTCTTTAAACAGAATTCCTCTAATAGACAGTAGAATTGATTCTCTTAATAGTCGGTCGCAAGACCAGATACTAAGATTAAGATTGAAAAAAGTATTAGGAATGGTAGTAATAATTTTTCATATGCAAACGGGATTTCAGGTACCTGCTGAAATGGTTGTCTGTCTCCCAAATAAACTAAAATTTGAAACCACATGCATGCCACTTGGGTTTGATAGTTTTCCACCTTCTATTGTCCTCACATTTCTGGACTATTTACCTTGTTTAGTTATGGAAAACAGTGACATTTTATTTTCTCTGTCTTCACAGTACATGTAAATTTCTATCTTTTATTTTTATTGGTGTAGTCCTATACTTGGTAAACAATAATGCTTTGCAACCATGCTCAAATAATTGAAACGAAATTTGTGAGTATGCCTACCCTTTTTTAGTGTTTTGTGTACCAAACGTTAATTGGTGGGATTTAAAATTGTTATATATTGAGATGACTTAAATCGGTTAGATTTAATTGCAAGTGTGTCAATGAAATGTGGTTTAGTTAGTATAATAAAATGATTGATATCCTTAGAAAATGATTGATATCATTAGTTTTATAGGTGTAAAAGACTACGAAAAAAACCGTATGGAAAGAGGTGAATATTATACTATTATTTATTGTTTTTATGATAAAAAATAGGATTAAATATTTTTTAAAATTTCTTTAAAGTTAGCTATTTTTATTTTTCGTCCCTTTAAAAATTTTGTTAAAGAATTGTCTTTTTTAACTTAAAAATTTTAATTTTAATTATTTTCTGCAATTTAGCTACGATTTTAACAACTTAACGATTAAATTAGCGATAAGTTTTAGAGATAATTTACTATTTAACGAATGAATTAGTGACAATTTTAACAGTGATTTTAGCAAGAGAGACTAAAAGTTAAAATTCATAACTTTAAGTGCAAGAGTAAACATTGGGACCGTGAGAAGTGGTGAACACACAAAGGAAAAAGTAAGAAGTTTGACATTCTTTTTTACTTCAATTTCAAACAATCGTAGGACAAAGGCGGTGTATGAGGTGTTTAGGGAATTTGGGGGACATAAATGAAGTGATTATTCCAGCTAAGAAGGATAAAATAGGAAAGAGATACGGCTTCGTTAAATTCTTCAACGTAAAGGATCCAAAATTTTTGGCAACCAAGTTGGATAACATTTTCATAGGAACTCGGAATATTTTTTGTATATGTTCCTAGGTTTCGAAGAAGAAGGAGATGGAGGAAAAGTTTATGAATATGGATAAAAAATTTGGACCAAAGGGCATGGGTGAGGGTGGGGGTAAGTAGTAGATTAATGAGTCAAAGGCAGGTAAGGAAGGAGGTTCATGGATGCGGCAACCCAATTAAAATAAAATGTCTACAGTAGTTTATCAAAGAAAGGAGGATGGATGTGTGTTTTCTTCAAGAAACAAAATTAAAAACTGAAGATGTGATGTGTGTTCATTCATTCTAGAGAGATAACTCAGTTGATTAGACGATGAAATGGGCTATATGAGAGGTCAGGAGTTAAGCTTTTCAATAGTTATGCCTACAAACCTTCTTAGAAATTGATTGGAATTTTTACACCAGATATCCTTTAGACCAAATATGAGGTTTTACACCAAGCTAATCTCGGAATCAAGTGGGATCTTTTACACCAAACAACACTTACAAACAAAATACAGATTTCCATGGACAATCTTGCGAACCAAATGATACCATTTATACCAGACGATGCTCATGAACAAAACGGAGATTTTCACGGACAATCTTGCAAATTAAATGAGAGTTTTTACACCAGATAACACTAACGAACCAAACAGAGATCTTCGCGGAAAATCTCATGAAACACATGAAATATTTTAATAGCTAAGAATACAAACCAAATAGCGTCTTCCCAAAAGGATTTTACACAAGAGATTACTTCCTCGTGCACAAATTAAATAATGCCACAAAACACTAAAACACACAAGAAATGCCTCTGTGATATTTTTTCACTTTTAAAACACTAAGGTAATTTATGAAATAAAAGAAATAAGAAGGAAAGGAGTAGAGAGTTAGAAAGTGTTTCAAAATACATTTTTCGTTGTAGATTGAAAAGGGGGAGAAATCCTCTATTTATAAATAATAAATCTGACTCAAAGGAAACTATCCATGAGAATGTTAATGCTCGTAATTAGTTATCATTAGGTATAATCGATTATGTGCTTCGTAAAAATGACAACCATATTTCTCTAAAATGAAATCTTACAGTGGCTAGTGCACAAATTGATTAGAAGTGTTTTTAATTGATCAATAAATTTTATGCCTTGCTCTAATCAATTGGTAAAGTGCCTTAATCAATTAGACATTGTATATAAATTTCCAAAATATTTAGGAACATCCTTGATCAATCCCTCAATCACCTTGATGGTAACACTAAGGGTTTTAAGGATTTTTATCAAATAGGGGTTAAAAATCACTTTTAGGTGAGTGTGTGCATTACCTTTATAATTTAGGAGTTACTCTACAATCTTTTACAAGAATTAGACACGGACCAGACAAGTTTTTACACTTCCTCTCTTTCACAAATTCAAAAGCTTCAAGGTCCCTTGTTTGATAAGACTTTTAATTTTATGTTTTCTAAAAAAATTTATTACTAGTACATATACTACTAACAAAATACATATACTTCCTAACCACAAAATACATATACCACTAATCTATATAATACATATAAAATCTATAAAAAAAATGCATAAATACCTCTATATAATTTCTTCACTAAATTTGCTTCTTCTTGGCTCTTGGTGTTCTTCTTCAAATTTCTCTACAAATAATGAACAAATGAACAAATACCCTTTTAATATTTCTTTCCAGTATAATAAATAATGAACAAACGAAATAAACATTTATCAAAATATGAATACCTTATTTTTCTTCAACAATTTGGGATGGAGGAAATTTGATTCGGGAATTTGGGTTTGAGAGGAAGAAGAATGGGTTTGAGAGGAAGAAGAAAGGAAGAGGAAAGGAAGAAGAAAGCAAAACAACGCTGCTGTAACGGATGAAAATTTTGGAGATGTAAAGTCAAGTAGCGACGTGACTGTCACGTCGCAACATTGCCACGTGATAATCACGTCGCTACACACTAAACAGAAAAATTATTCTCTCTCCCACTCTGCAACCCTGTCATCAACCAACTTTATTTCCCCCCCTTTAATATAGCGACGTGGCTATCACGTCGCTACCAAAATTCAAATTTCCCCCTTCTGTAGCGACGTGTAAGACACGTCGCTGATGTTTTTACTTTACAACGTTCTCTGATTTGCATTATTTGTCATTAAAATATATTAGCGACGTGGTTATCACGTCGCTACTACTCACGTGATAATCACGTCGCTAATATATGTCGCTGGGGACATATATTCTTTTAGTGATTCAACACTTCCTCTGGGTCTTGACTTCTTCTATCTGATGAGGCTTGATAAGGCTTCATGATAAACACCATCGACAAAGAGATTGATTAACAGGAGATCATCAGGAAAAACATCAAACACCTCTTGACATTAGGTGTTTTCCTTAAGAGAGTTGCTTTGACATCTTGATCTCCCAAATATAATAACTTGATCATAAATTCTAATAAAGACTTCACCTTATAGTGTTGTTATCATCAAAATTATTTAGGTCATCTAACTGCAGACAGTATACCTACAAGCACATAGATCCACGATTATTAACATACCAGTAAAGGTTTTATTCTTTTAGATTTATCAACTAGAGAAAATTTCCTATCTAAAAATGTTACATTCAATGAAAACAACTTTATTTTTTTAAATAACTATATTCCCGCTACAAACAATCTAAAGTAATATTTAGATAACACTCTGTTTTTTCTTTATCATTTTCTACACCCCTTGTGATAATACCATTTCAAGACAATCTCAACAAATACCTCCTATCAACCCTAGCCAAAAAAATTCAACAACCTAATCATATTTCACATACACCTATTATTCCAAATTCTTCTTATTGTGAATAAGCTCCTACATTTTTTTCAAAAATTATTTTGCTAGAACCATCAAACAATCATCTTGTTTAAAATACTTTGCCATTTACAATATTAATTCTAATTCTAGCTTATATCATATACGATACATTATTTTTTATGATAACCTCTCCATTTCATACAAAATTATACTTTATTCATCGCATCTGCAACTGAACCGTATACTTACAAACCTGCCTCTAAAAATTCATGTTTTGTGGGATGTAATGCATATTGAGTTGCAAGCACTTGTCATTAATAATATCTGGTCAACTACATATTTTCCAATGGTTAAGAAACCTATAGGTTGCATATGGGTTTTCAAAATAAAACACAAGGATGATGGATCGGTAAAATGATACAAGACACATTTGGTGGCTAAAAGTTATACGCAAACTGGGAAATTTCTATGTATGCAATTTTTCACTAGTGACTAAGATGACAACAACTAGGCTTTATTTAGTCATTTCTTCTTCACAACATTGGCACATACATCAACTTGATATCAAAAATGCTTTCCTCTATGAGGGTTTAAAATAAAAGTCTATATGGAT